TCAGAGTGAAGCAGATGCACCTGAACTCCAGCAACAAACCCCAGAGCTCTTCATTAGACGCAGAAACAACGCTGGTGTTTGCATGAGCGAGTGGGAGGACATTAGTGCTTCTCATCCGCTTTTATTTCAGCATTCAGATTTACACTGACATCAGGTGACAGATGAACAACCTTTGACGCATGTGAATGATTTTCTCCTCCCTTTTAAAGGATTATCTTCTCTAGCTCTGAATGGCTATATTTAGATATTTATTACATTTAGCATTTCCCCCTGCTGTCAGAATGGGCCTGTGACCCATTGATTTAACCAGTGCATTAACTAACAGTGACTACTGGACCTGGAGCCGGTTAAGTGTCGTCTACACGTGTGTGTGCATGTGCTCTTCCATGCACGCCTGCTAAAGAGCCCTGTGGCTTTGGCATGGAAATCAAGACTGATTCTAACAAGAAAGGCAGAGGCTGGAAGGGCTTTAAACTCAAGCTTTTTAAAGGGAATAAAGCAGGAACTGCTCTAAAAATGTCACATTTGAATACAAACGGATTCACATTTTGAAATCCAAATGAAGCATTCATAAAAATTTCAGGAATTTAGAATGCTGATTATAAATGTAATGTGACACTTTAAAATAAAGCTATTTTCGTAATTGAATCCTTATTAATCAATCATCACAATATTGATCCTATGATGTGAAACCTTTAGTTGAAGTGTTAAAGCTGAATGTGTGCGTTTGTGCTCCAATTACATTTTTGTATATGAAATGTATTATCATCATACGAAGTAAAAACTAATATTAAACCTATTAGAATTTGGAACAATTTCATATATTAGCATGTACAGACAAATATGTCTGTATATTTATGAGCAATACATTGTTGGACATATATGTCATGTACATGTATGTGATCCATCCTATAAGTCGCCAATACATGTTGACATTATATAAGTAAAAACAAAAGATAACCATATTTCATTGAATTTTTTCTTTTTTAATATGTAAATTATTTTCAAAAAAAATGTTTTTGTGTGTGTGTATATATATATATGTTGTTTTAAAAAACTTTTAAAAATCATTGACATATTTGCCTACATAAAATGTAAAAATCATCATATAGATATTAACATATGTACATATAAACACTATGGGGATTTTAGATATGTTATAATCTTCATCTATCCACAGAATGTACGTATGTGAAAATAATATCACTTTATAGGTAATATGGGAATATCACAGTATGAAGAAATATACTGCCATATATTGCATTTACATGCAGTGAAAAGACAATAATCCACGCCATAATTGTCTAACAAAAACATGTTTTCTTGCTTTGTAACTAGATGAATGGAATATGTCATGTGCAGACAGCTGCGTATCGAGCAGAGCTTGTTCTGAACTGCATTAGAGCGGCGCAGACAGCAGCAATATTGAGCTGAGATGCATTATGTGCTGCTGCTGTAAACAGATCCATCTGCAAAGTAGCCCAAAATCTATTTCTCTCTCTCCCTCTCTCACACACACACACTCAATTTTCTGGTGCATTCTTATCTTTCGTCTTCATATCTCTGTCTTTCATTAAATCCTCCAGCGGTTTGTCTCTACAGCGGCTGCTGATTTAGTGTCAGAGCAGCTATCACACGAACAGCAGAGATTTCTTAGATGAGGATGATGAAGGTCACTGACAAGTCTTGAGCTTTTATCAGATTCACTGAAAGTTTGAGATGGGAACAAAATAATGGGTAGATGCTTGTTAACGGCATCCGCTGGCTTGTGTTGAGCTTTGACAGCGTTTCTGCGGCGTAACAGAAGAGCTCATAATTAAGTCATTATGGGTTCCTACACTGAGAATTAATTATAATATGCTTATCAGGAGTGTGCCACTGAAAATTATTTCAAACTGAAATCGTTTACATTCTGGAGGAGCGTCACTTAAGGAATGGTTCGTCAAAAATGAAAATTTCCTGCTCATCCGAGATTAGGATGAGTTTGTTTCTTCATCACGTTTGCAGAAATGTAGCACTGCATCAGTGTCTCAGCAATGGATGCTCTGCAGTGAATGGGTGCCGTCAGAATGAGAGTCCAAACAGCTGATAAAAACATCACAATAATCCACAGCACTCCAGTCCATCAGTTAACGTCTGGAGAAGACAAAAGCTGAAACAAATCTATCAAAAATATGTTTTTAACTAAAATACGAGTCTATAATCCATAATAACGCTGAAAAAGTGCATCTGCTGTTGTCTCTCACATCAAAATCCAGCCACATTTTAGTTTAGAGCTGTTTAAACGGTGCTTGGTCTGCGCAGATTTCTCTCCGCTTTTTCACTGGAGGAAGCGTTATTATGCATTATAGACTCGTGTTTTAGTTAAGAATGTCTTAATGCTGGATGTGTTCCAGCTTTTGTCTTCTCCAGATGTTAACTGATGGACTGGAGTGCTGTGGATTATCGTGATGTTTTTATCAGCTGTTTGGACTCTCATTCTGACGGCACCCATTCACTGCAGAGCATCCATTGATGAGACACTGATGCAGTGCTACATTTCTCCAAATCTGATGAAGAAACAAACTCATCCTAATCTGGGATGGCCAGAGGGTGAGGACATTCTCAGCAGATTTTGGGTGAATCTACCAGGAATATAAGCTAAACCACAGGCTGCAGCTGTAAACATAGCTATAAATCATCTGAATTCAGTCAGATTTACTGCAATAGAAAGTGTTTATCTGTCTCTCACTGCGTGTAGAACTTGTCTCAAGACAGAAATTCAACAATAGGCGAGTAGTTCACACATCTATTTCATGATATCAACACTCTGGGTTTATAGGGAGTTTTGAACATGTTTTCTGCTGAGTTCAGCGTGAGCCGCGCAGTAAAAATAGGCTGAAGCAGAGCAATAATCTGGGTTGCAGTGTTGCAGGGCTTTTAGCTAGAAGCCACTAAATTCTCTTTAAATAGGGTCTCTGATTTCAGCTTTAGTAGACTTGCAGCAATATAATTAGTTTTTTTGCATAAGGCAAAAAAAAAACAAATAATAATATATATATATAGCCAAAATATATTCCAAATATATATGGCAAACAATATAACTTAATGAAATGTATTTTTAAATTGATATATAGTTTCATCCTTCATGTACCAAAGTATGTTTCAAAATGTATTTCCAGGGCAAGAAAATACATTTTCAATTTATATATTTTGTAATATTGTATTGTTTTTGGAACATTGTAAAGCATGTTCCTAATTGCCCATTTTTATTTATATGTGTTGTATGTTCACATGTTATAGAAAACTAATTATGTTTTTCTTAAAATGTGACATGAATGTATTTTCTTGGATTGAAATATGCGGAGGGCAAAATTTCATTAAATATAAAAATTATGAAATATTATTATAAAAAGTATTATATAATATTATAAATATATATTTTCAATGATATACAAAAATATATTGGTAGAAAATATATTTTGAAACATATTTGAAATTTAATGAAATTTATATTTGAAATATAATATATTTTTGAATATAGCCATATGGGCTATATTAATTTTCACAGTTTTTTTTCTTACATTGAATCTATTTGACGCTTGACTCTTGATATCGTTGCATCTGAGGTTTAATTAATCAGCATTTTCCCAGGGGAAAATTAAACTATTTCATTTACTTTTATTTACTTCAAAAAATGCACTTAAATAATAATGTGCAACATCTAAATGAACAGCTTTTGTTCAAGCCAAAAAATATTATTTAACATGACTGAATCAACATGCTAGTTACAGTACACTAGGTTACAACAAAAACTCATTTTTAAGGGTCAGATGAGGTAGAAATAAATCGAGCTGAAAGGTTCAGCACATTGTGATGTTTTGACAGCGACAGTAAAGCCTCTCTCTGACATCAACATTCATCACACACGTCTACAAACACAACAGCATCGATCTGTTCCTGACATCCACTCCTGACCGCAGACCAGACAACAAAGTAGCGTGCATGACACGGTGTCTCCTTCAGGTTGTATGCTGCATGCTTTTAAAGGCTGTGGACATAATCAAAGCCGACAGCCGCCTTCCTGTGACTTCTGATGCATGCCAGGATGTGAATCTACCAGCAGAAATCATTTCTACACAAATGACACTCGAGAGTTGAGCGGCGCACAATGATCATTTATCTCAATGCTTTACTAATGAAAGACCTGCCTGGCCTTGAAGACGGTGCGGAACGAAAGAGAAAGCGAACGCCGTGACGTTCATTTGAAACCAGCAAGTGCCAAATGGGTTTTACCAGCCGTGTCAGTGCGATTGGGTCAGCCCTATTATGAAGAATGTTTTTAATGCTCCCTTCATTCATTTTTTTTAGATATTAGATAAATTATTAAAATAAAAACTGAAGCTGAGGGTGAGCACATTTACAGCAAATTTTCGTTTTTGTCTGAACTACTCCTTTAATCTACCTTTAAACTAAAGCCAGGATTGCGAATGCAGTGTAAATATAGTCCCGGTTATTCTTAAACAATTAGCATATAAACCTTGATTTAATACAAGTTACTCAATCCTCATTGGTCTAATTCACCCACATAGATTTTTTTGTGTGTGTGTGTCAAACCATGAGTCATAACCACAGCACATAAAAACAAACACTTTATTCAGGTTGTCTGTGCGTCATTGCTCTTGCAGATAGATGGTGCTAACTGGATTTTAGCAGCAGTGAAGCCCATTATGTGTGTGTGTGCGTGCGTGAGTGTGTGTGTGTATATAAATGCTTTCATAACCATTTATAAAGTTCTCATTCAAGTGCAATATTGTTTAGATATTTATAAATGCACTTGTGCGCATGCATAAACATGCAAATCATCAGCATGCACTGGCGAGTATTTCATTAAAAATGAACATCACCATCTGGAGGAGTGTGAAGATGAAACTTTGAAAATAGATTTGGACTCTAATCCATCTGCGTCACTTTACTGATACACATTTAGAATAACAAGAGGAAAACTTGTGTGAACTTACCCCGATGATGACAGTGTCATCTCCTTGAAATGTGGGGATATATTTGTCCCCTCGGAGGGTTTCGGAGTGGTTCAGGGGTCTGAAGCGACACAGAACCCTGATGTTGCATTCTGCGCTGACATCAGCCATCCTGCGATGCTGCACTAAAGCCGCCTTCAGACACAACAATGCGTTTCTCTTCTGATCTGTGAATAATTCGCGCGGTCCTCTGTAGATGAATGGCGTTTATAGATAGGCGAAACAATCAGGAAGAATGATCCAAATGAATCTGCTGCGAATCAAAGCATCGTCGTTCAAGCCTGCGAGGCGAGCGGAGGATAGTAAAGTAACGAGTGTTTCTGAGAAGCGCTCTCTCGAGGTTGTGTTGTGAGTGTTAGTGCTGCAGAAGAGCAGCGTGATGCTGCAGGGATACGGAGACACACGCGCTTGGCACCGCGGCGCTCTGATTGGCCGGTATTTGACAGGGGGCGGGGCGTGTGCTGTGCTGACTCTCGCATCAGCACCGCTGCTTAGCACGATGGCAACTTATATTTGAGACAAAAATGAGAAGAGCACCAAGAAATCTTTGTGTATTATTACTGATCCTTAAACCCTTTCAAAATCTGCAAAGATAAAGGTGGTTTGCTGGTCTTTGCTGGTTTACAGTGAACTGGCTGGTTTCCCAACCTGACCAGCTGACAACTGCCCCAAATCCTTCTGAACAGACCGGCCAGGACACATAGTTACATAACAATAATAATTATTATTATTATAACAACAACAACAACAATAATAATAATAATGATGATGATGATAATGATGACAATAATTATATATATATAAAATAATAATAATAACAATAACAACAACAACAATAATAATAACAATAATAACAATAACAACAACAACAACAA